CCCCCATTTCCCATGCCCAGCAGGGCAGGGCCTGGCATTTACCTGTCTTTGGAACTGCTCCTTCTGGGTTCTTGACTTTGCAGTGGTTTCCCAGAAACACTAAGTAAATATCCCAATTGTTTTCCAGGTAACCAGCCCCATAGCTCTGACAAGAGTCTCCATATAAACTTTCCCTCAAGATTAGCTGGGCATGGTGGTGCATGCCTTTAATCCCCCTGTTCATGGGAAACAGAGGCAGGAGGATTGCTGTAAGTTTAAGGCCAGCCTGGTATACACAGAGTTCAAGGTCAAGCAAGGATACATGGTGAGACCTTGTCCTAAAGGAAGAGAGAAGAAGGATTCTCTCCTTTTTTATTTAACTTTATTTTATTTTATTTTCTTATTTTTGTGATGCTAGGAATCAAACACTGAACCACAGGCTATATCTCCAGCTTTGAGTTAGATGCCCCAGTCCCCTGCATACCACCTCAGCAGATCCTTCAATAATCTCCTGTCAGGAACTTGCTGGAGGCTCTGAACCTTGGTGCCTGGGGTGGTTTTAGTGTAGATATAACTCAGGGATCAGCATCTTGGTAGAGCATCAGCTCCTTCCAGAGACCCCAAGGAAACTGTGGAGTATGTTTTGTTTAGTATTTTTCCAAAGAAAATAGCCTGACTTGGGTCATTGACCTGCAATTGTGATACAGAGTCTTACCAACCCTAAGAAATGGTTTTTATTGTTTTGTTTTTTGAGACAGGCTATCAGGAAGCTGAGACAATACTCAAATTCACTGAGGCTGGCCTTTAACTCCTGACCCACTACACACCCTGCTAACATACAGAAATATCCTTGGCCAAGGTTAACTCCAATCATGGAGAAGCTGAAGATGTTAGGGCTGGTATGCTAAGCTACTTGGTGATGCTTTCTCATTTTTCTTCTCTTCTTTTTCTTTTAAGTTTTTTGAGATGAGAGTATTACTAGGTTGCTCAGGCTAGCTTTGGACTTCTGAATTCAAAAGATCTTCCCACTTCAACCTCCCAAGTCCTAGGACTACAGCTGTGTTGCCGCCTTTTTCTTTGGGTTATGTTTCTTTGTATTTATAGTTCTACTCTCCCCACCTACAACTGCCTTTCTCTTGTCTCGGGAACCAGGAGTGTGTCTTCACGGACCAAGTCTGTCTTCTGCCTGCTTTATTGCAGGGTTATTATCTCAACCTAACCACATATGTCCAAGGCTGTCTGCCTCTCCCTCTGAGCTCATGTTTTAGCTACTTAGTGCATCTATAAGTAGGAAATCTGGTGTAGGCATCCACCTGAGTGGGGGGAACTTCATTAATTGGCTTCTCAAGACTTCCAATTTAAAGACATTCTAACTTTGTAGTTTGGGATTCAGTAGATGCCACCATTCTAGATTACTAAAGCTTCTAAAATTCAGAGTTTATTATGCTAGAGTTCTGTGACACCAAGATTCCATGACTGTGGACTTTATGAATCTAAAATTTCATGACGTTTTCATATTTAATGAATTTTGTCATCGATATGGTGACAACTATCCCAGCACTTACTTGGCCTGTGTTTTTCAAAATTTATTTTCTACAAGTTGCAAGTCTCAGCTTTGGGTTTTTTCTGTGGATTTAATTGAATCAGAGGAAGGAGATTAGCTGGGAGAAAGGATTTCTATCTTCCTGGGGCCAAGGCAATCCAATGCTAGGCCCCAGCACTCAGTCCACCCTACCTACCTCAAGCTCCTCGTTGAACCTCCAGAACGTAAGGGTAACAGGAAAAGCAACGTCCTTACCAAAGTCCTTTCTCCCTGAACTGGCCCAGGCTCCAGTGGAAGAGTTTCGTGGGAGACTGGCCTTGCTGAATGGGTAGCAGGAGAGGGAGGGCTAAGCATCCGGCAAGGAGCCAGGGGAAGCAACACGGAGACTCCCTAGGGAGCCCTATAGCCCTCCCCAGAGGTGAGGAAGGAACAGAGGCGGGAGTAGGGGTGTGGGTAAGGGCATTGGTAAGGGTGGAGGGTATTGCATTGTGGGGCTGGAGCTGGGCTTCCAGCCATTGACCCATTAGTGACAAGAGACCTCCAGACTTGTACCCTAGGGACTGTCTGGTCCAGCTAGCCCCTACCCTTTGACTGTGTGTTCTCCTGCCAAGGCAGGCTCCTAGAAAAAGTTAGGGAACCTGAATTCCAAAAGCCACTTCCTGGGAGGGCTCACTGACCAAGAAAGAGGCTAGGACTCTAAAAGATCACACTAGAGACTCCAGGCTCAGGCCTCCATCCCAGAGTTATTCTTCCTACATTCCAAAGAGCCTCAGAATTATAAAATGCTTCCTGAACCACATAGTTTGTAAAGAGGATGGTGTGCCCCAGGCTACCTCCCAGGAGCAATCTGGATCCCTTCTCCAGCCCTTCCAGCCTTTCAGCACAGCACAAGGCAAAGCTGCCAAACCTGATTTTCTGGTGACTGCCCAAGGCTGGCTAAAGCAAGAAGCCCTCCTCCTGGCATGGACCCCTCAGGCTACCATCCTCCTCCCCCTTACCTGATTCTCTGCCTGGGCTGTGCCTCCTGCACCCTTGCCAGCTGTCCCAGTGTGCCACCACTTAGTCTTCCACCTATTTAGGTGTGGTCCAGTGCTACCCCTCTGGGTTTTAATTTTTTCATCTATGGATGGGGAACAGTGGTCTGCCTCCACAGAACAATTGGGGTCGAGGAGGGGGTGTCTAAAAGTGGATGTGATTAGCAGAGGGCACTTCATTTGTTTGGTGGGTTGGTGCAGTGCTGGGAACATAGCCTAGGGTATGAGAAGGAAGTTCTGCTTGTGGAAATCCAGAGGTGTAGTTGCTGAAATGAAGAGTGCAAGGGAAGGGGTGCGCCCCTGAATTCCTGTTCTCTGATCTGTGGGAGATGAGAAAGAAAGAAAAGGAAGAAAAGAGACAGACAGAGATATCATCCCTGAAGCACTCAGATTACCAGTGTTCAGAGCCCTGTATGACGTGTTTCATGTCTGTCTCTCCCTGAGGAAGAACTCTGTCTTCTTCACCTCTCTTATGTCAGAATGTAGCACTATCCTGGAAAGAAGCAAGTACTATTAACCAAGTGAGCAGAGCTGCAGATGAAGCAGCAGAGGTACTCCAGCAGTTACAGATCAGCCATGTCAACTCACCTAAGCCCCTGCTCCAGATTGCCCTATGGCTCAAGCCTCCTCCTCTAGTCTGGGAATCCTGTGTTCTCAGTCTCCAAAGAACTCTGGTGGGATGAGAAAGGATTAGGTTGTACCCAGTCATCCAGTGGGCCACCTAAACTGAAGCAGTGGTACCCTCAGGCTGCTGCTATCTCTGAGAACCTAGAGGGGGAGGGGCAACAGAGGAGCCGTCACTGCAGATGGAGCTAAGAATAGCTAGAAGAGATGATGTCATTCAGTTCCCACTGCTTAGCACCCTCCTCATACACATACATAGAAACACATACACACTCAAAGACACAGATGCACAGAGACACAAGCATGGGTATACATATCACACACAGTTAAAAGGCAGGGGGAGCTTCTGAGTCTCAGGGCTGCAGGGACAGGGAAGTCTGGTGAGTGTGTGTGTGTGTGTATATGTGTAAGTATGCGTGAGTATAATTGCATGTGTCTATGTCTGTATGCTTGTGTACTTATTGCTGGGTGCATGTATGCTTATGTCTGTGTATAATCATATATTGTTATATGTAGCCTACTGGGGGCAGTTCTACTGAATAGTTAATCCTTATCTCTGTTTAGAACATATTCCTGAATACATATATGTGCTTATTGTGTTGTGTGTCTGTGAGACCACTTATATTTATATGTCTGCATTTGTCTGTGGACTATGTCATATGTATTTATATGCACAGACCCCTTTGTGGGCCTTAGACACTGGTCCAGTCCCTTTCTAGCTCTGAATGATGTTCAGCAGCTCCTTCCCATATCAAGGAGCCCAGCACTCTGGGCACAGTGTTATCTGTGAACTTTCAGCCCCAGTCTACCCTTAGGATTCCACTTTCTGAAAAGCCTTGTAGTAGATGGACATAAGCACAACTCATTTTTCCCCTTACAGGAGGCAAAGGACATTAATTGGCCTTCTTCATCCCCAGAGGAGTAGACCACCAAAGGTCTCAGGGTTCCCTCCTACCCCTAACCCACACACAAAGAAACACATTAGAGATAGACCCTCACAGTGTTCCCATCATTAGACACAACCCCATAGAGACACATCCCACAGAAACCTAGTTAAACCTGATAACACATGGGCACACACTCAGAAATCTAAGTGGAAAATCCCCAGGCCAGAGAGCTCAAAACCCTCCCCCCTGTTTCTGGGCTCAAACTCTGTTTTGCCCCACCCCCAAGTGCCCCAGCCCAACTGGTAGTCCCAGAAAACAGAAAACGCTAACCTCAGAGGATGGCTGGTGGTTGAAGGTGACAGGCCCTCTTCAGACACTGTATGCCCTCCCTCCTCCAGGCTGCCCCCTCCCTCTCCTGACCTTCATTCTCAGCTGAGCTGGTGCTGCTCTGATGAGCCTCTGCTTCCATAAGCACGCTGACTCTCACAGCCAAGTGCAGAAGCATATTTAGTCACAAAGGCACATTCAGTCACATGTGCCTTATTCTCCTGCCACACACACACACACACCAGCAGCCAACACCTACACACTGACCATCACTGGCATACCTTGCCATAGAGTATGTGCAGGGTTCTAGCTTTCATCCCATCTCTCCTTTATCTGTGCTTTCTGACACCTTCCAGCATGCCTTGTACCCATGGGAGTATAAGGCAGGAGAGCCTCTTACCTCACGGGGAGGGCAGCTCAAAGTGCTGAGGACAAAGATGGGTTTGTCTGGTTGACTTTGTCCTGTCTTTCCACTGTCTAACTCCAATCAAGACAGTGATCCTTGCTGTTGTCACTAAAGCCTGTCCAAGAATATCCCCCAACCTTACTACCATCATGTTCTACATAGTTGAAACTCTTAAGGTTCGAGCAAGACAGCTTAAGCAGAATGATTTTATTTGTTGTTCACCACCCCCAGCCTCCTAGAGCAGCAGGTCCAGTGCAAGCCAAGCTTCTGGGCATTTCTAGAGGATCAGAAAGCCCCCAGGTTGACAGAGGCGTCTGAGAACTGGAGAGAGAAAAAAGAAGGAAGGGTCTTTTAAAAATAGTCATTTGTGGAGGCTGGAGAGATCATTCCAGTCAGTAAAGTCCTTGCCTTGTAAGTATAAGGACCTGAGTTTGATCCTCAAAACCCAGGTCAAAAAGCTGAGCATGGTGGCTGGCACACACTTGTAATCCTAACACTGGGGAGGTAGTATGTGGCTCCTTGGGGTTCACAGGTCAACCAGCTTAGTCTACTGGACAAATTCCAGGCTAGTGAGAGACAACGTCCATCTCAAAAAATGTGACAACACCCAAGGTTGACCTACACATGTAAGCATACATCCATGCATGTATATACACTTGTGCGTACACACATACACGTACACATACACACACGGAATTTGTGAAAATTCCACTGTACCTTGGATTAACCCACCTCCTCCAAACCCTCTGTTTCCATTCATGCCATCCTCCATCAAGACTCTCAGTATCTGCTGATGCCTGCCTTCGAGACCCTGCCACACACTTGGGTGGCAGTTCACAAATTGCTCCTTAGAGTTTATAACCACGACAGGAGACTACTTCAGGTTTTCAAACGCAAATCCTGAGTCACAGGTCTCACCACTCCATTCCTCTACTAACCTTGAGGTGAGAGGATCCACACACTGGTGGTGGTAGTGTTGGTGTCACTGATGTTTGTGGCAATAGTGCCAAGACTGGTGGTAAATGGGCTTCGGAGTTTCTGCTGGTACGTTCTGCGACTACGCTTGAACATCCTGGGACACCGGCGCTGGGGCCCACCCATACCTGGCCTTCGATAGGGTGAACTCATGCCCCGGGGCCGAGGGGCCCGAACAAGCTGAGAGGGCCCCATGACTACAGGAAGCTTCTGTGGTGGACTGAGGGCTGCTGCTGTCCAGGGCAGCTGAGGTCTCTATGACATATGCAGCCTGCCTAAGATGATGCTATTTGTTACAGGTCTTGCCCCCCATCCCCCACCCCAGAATAGGTCAGGCTTCCTCACAATCTTCTTCATGGAGTCCCAGCCCGAAAACCAGACATTCCAGCTTGGAGAGTCCCTTGGAGAAAGAAACTCCGGTAAGGGGGAAAAAAAAAAATCACTCAATTTTTTCATCTATCCTCATTAACAATATTAAGTATGGTTGCTGAACACCACAACTCTACAAGGAAATTCTATCATTAATCTTATTTATATAGATCAATTGTCACTATTCACAGTAGTTGGAGTCTACAAAGTCACTATAAACATTAAATTAACAAATACTGAATCACTCATTACTCCTTAGAGAATACACAGGTTCCCATGACTCTCTGGTCACATTTTTAACAAATTATCAATATATAATCTGGTTTCATGTGTATGTAGAAGCAATTTATTTCTTCTTTTTGTTTGTTTGCTTGGGAGTTTTGCTTTTTTTTTTTTTTTTTTTTAATGTGTATGAATGGTTTGTGTATATGTAAGTACACCCATGTTGTATACTGCCTGTGGAGGCCAGAAGAGGGTGTTGGATTCTCTGGAACTGGAGTTAAGGATGGTTGTTAACTGCCATGTGGGTGCTAGGAACGAAACCCAGGTCCTCTGCAAGAATAGCCAGCACTCTTAACTGCTGAGGCATTTCTCCATGTCCTGATTGTTTTGTTTTTAACACAGGGACTTGTTCTGTAGCCCAGACTAGCCTAGAACCTACAGCAAGCCTCCTGCCTTGGCCTCCCAAGGGCTAGAATTTCAGGCCGGAGCCACTACACGTCAGGAGACACCCTATTTAATATATAGTGTTGAGTCATTAACACTCAACTCCTGACCAACAGCAATATAACTTATGCCTGAATCAAGTTTATCTAACACATGTATTTCCTCTAACAGGATATTCACTAACAACTTCACCTGTGCTGGGCACGCAGAAGAATGCAAACTCCAACAAGTTCTTCCTGACCTGAAAGAGATTCCCTTGTCATCAGTACAGGTATGTATGTGGGGTAAGAAATGCTAAACCCCGTGGTTCTTTCTTGTAGGAAGCAAGCTGGAGAGTTAGTAGCTCTGCCACTTGCGCAGAGTTGAGGAACTTTGAACTTCCCTTTCCTCCACACTTCAGCCTTCACTGTCTTTCCTTCTACCTCTTCCCAAGACTGAACCTTGGGTCCTGCAGAAACCTGCTGGGACACCATGAGGCCTCAGCATTACCCTGGAAAGGTTCACCACCCTTTACCCCAGCCTCTTCTCTTGCCAGCTTCTGTCCTAGAATATGATGATCTTGCCCCATTCAACCATTAGTCACTGTACCTTTGAGCCTCTCTCTACCCTTATTCAGGTTCTGGGCCAAAGCCTCCTCCCTGGCTGTTTATGGAAGTCAACTCTGCCTGCCTCCTTAGAGACTCCATTAATGTTGACAGTTCATTTAGTGGTTAAGAAGACTATGGTGCCAGACAGATAGGTTGAATTCTGCTTCTACCACTCACAAGGTGTGTGATCCTGACACATATTTAAGCTTTCTAGGTTTTCATTTCTCCATATTTAAAATAGAAATTAAAAAGAAAGTCTAAGATGATGTAGTCCATGCCTATAATCCCAGCACTTGGGAGGTGGATGCAGAGAGAATCAGGAGTTCAAGGCCATCTTCAGCTACACAGAGAATCAGTGGCCAGGCTAGACCACTTGAGATCCTGTCTGATAAAAACCCCAAACCAACCAAATAAATAAAAAACCCTACAACAAATAAATAAAAAGAAAGTCTATTCCATAGGAGGGTTGTTAAGGGGGAAAAGGGAATATGTTGTACATTTAAGGCATGTTTTATTACTATAGTTTGTTATAGTTATTTATTATTATTATTTTGAAAGAAGGGTGCTGGAGAGATGGCTTAGCATTTAAGAGCACTGGCTGTTCATGCAGAAGACCCAGGTTCCAATCTCAGCACGGTTTAGAGTCTATAATATTATTACCTTCTTTTTGTCCTGACTCTACAGTTACCTCCTTCCGCACAAAAATAACAAATTTAAAAATCCATTTCCAGACTGGAGAGATGGTTCAGCAGTTAGGAGTACTTACTGCTCTTACAGAAGGCTGGAGTTCAGTTCCCAGCATCCATGTTGGGCAGGTCACAACCACCTGTAACACCAACTCCAGGGTATCTGACACCCTCTTCTGGCCTCCATTGGCACCTGTACACATGTGAGCATATATGTACAGACACAAAATCTTTAAAAATAAAATAATTTTTAAAAATAAAAGTAGATTTTAGACCTAGAAAGTATGTGGCTGGGCATGGTAGCACACAATTGTAATACTCCCCTAGGGGGACTGAGGCAAGAGGATCACTGTAAGTTTGAGTGAGTTCCAGGCAAGCCAGGGTTACATAGTGAGACCATGTCTCAAGAAAAACAAAAATAAATAAAGACAAACCCACTTTCTCAGCATACGGGACGTAGCTTAATAGTAGAGCATTTGATTTGCCTACTATGTACAAAACCATGGGTTCAATCTCCAATAACACATACACCACCACTACCACCATCACCCCTCCCCTAAATCCCTCCTACAACCCCTGGCAGTGATTCTCTCCTTTCTGACCTCTTGGTGCTCATTGTTCTATGTCCTAAAGCAAGGGTGTCCCTGTAGCCCCAGCTGGCCTGGAACTCAATTTGTAGACCAGGCTGACCTTGATCTCATAGAGATCTGCCAGCCTCTGCCTCCAGAGTGCTGGGATTAAAAGCATACGCTGCTGTAGCCACCACCCCTGCCACCACCATGCCCAGCTGAGAAAATCTTATTTTAAAACCCCATAACTAGGCCAGGAGTGGTAGTACATGCCTTTAGTCCCAGCACTCGGAAGCCAGAGGCAGGCAGATCTCTGTGAGATCAGGCCACCAGGCCAGCCTGATCTACATAGTGAGTTCCTGGTCAGCTACAGGGAAACCCTGTCTCAAAAAAACCAAACAAATGCTGGGCATGGTGGCGCAGCCCGTCCCCCCCCCCCAAAAAAAAAAGGAGACTGAAAAACAAGTCTCAGAATTGCCTCCAGAGCAAGGCGGGGTGGTACATACCTCTAACCCAAGTACTCTGGAGGCTGATTCAGGAGAACAAAAAATTCAAGTTAGTGGAATATAGAGCCTCGTACCTATAATCCTACCATTTAGAAGGCTGAGGCAGGAAGATTGCCTTGTTTAAATCCTGAGCTATAGAGTGAGACCTTGTAAATAAAAATAATAAATAAATAAATAAATAAATACCAGGAGTCGTGGCTCACACCTTTAATCTCAGTACTTGTGAGGCAAAGGCACAGAGTGAATCTCTGTAAGTCTGAGGCTAGCCTGATCTACATAGAGAATCCAGGCCAGAACTACAGGGAGACCCTGTCTCAAAAAAACCAAAACCAAAACCAACAATAACAACAAAATGAACAAAACCTAAATAAACAATAAAAATTGTCCCCAGGGCCCACAGTCATATAACTAAGAATGAGACCCAGGGTACAAGCCCCTGGTCTGCATAACTTGGAAAGACTTTCCAGGAACTTCTCCATCAGGAACGGTGGAATGGGAAAGTAGGAGAGGGAGCCCCAGGGAAGAAAGGGTTCTAGAGCCTTGGAATGGGGGTGTCTTCTTTGTAGGGCCATAGTGCCACCTGCTGGCAGAAAGAAAAAGGCTGTGCACAGAATTCCAGAGCTGAGAGAGGGAAAAAGAAGAGAATAGGTGAGGAGCAAAAGGAAGATGGGACAGGGTGGGGTTTGTGGTGGCAAAGGAAGAAGGAAGCATTTCTTATTCAGAGGAGAGAACAGAGGTTGCCAAACCTTAGTCATTTCCTTGAAGGTGTGTGTGTGTGTGTGTGTGTGTGTGTGTGTGTGTGCATACACATGCACATTCAGGAGCACCAGTACATATTTATGTATGTGACTATGAGTTTTAAGTGTAAACATTTGGACGGCACTATGAGCAGATGTGGGTGCCAGTGTACACTCAGATGCAAGGTAAGAAGCCTTTGCACACTGTTGTGTGAATAGCACACAAAAGTTCTGGAAGGCCACCTCCCCCTTCTTGAGATCAGGAGAGGCACAGCCTCTGGGTGATACCTCCAGGTTAAGGCTTGCTTATTGCTGTGGTGCTAGGGACCTATCTCCAGGCAGTAGGGGGCAGCAAGGGCAAAGGAGGCTGATCAGCCATGGGTGGGGCCAGTAGGCGGGCAGACAGAAGGAGGCTTTTAAAGCACCTGCCCCACTTGTAGGTGAGCAGAGGTGTGTGAGAGCTACAGATTCTTCACCCTGCCGCCAGCCCACTGAGTGGCAGCAGATCTTTCTAAGAACTTGTTGCCAAGAGCCCTGAAAAGGTGACGGCATAGGACAGAGCCTGCGAATTGATACCAATCAGGAAACAGGTTTGGGGTGCTGAAAAGCCATTGGGAGGCTACTGGAAGGGTCTGAGGTTAGTCTAGGAAGGGGCCTAGAACAACAGGTATCAGGAAAGGGCATTGAGTGATCTGCATTGTGGGAGTCAGGCTTGGAGTACCTGTGTAGGAACCTGGGAGTGTTAGGATCTGAGTATCAGGTGCTGGCAAGGGGAATATGGGTAGTGCAGGTGGACACAGGTGTCAGGATGGGAACTGGCAAAAGTTGTGAGATATCAGAGTTCAGAAACAGGGAAAGCTTGGTGAGAAACAGCAGGATGCTAAAGTCTGGTATGCTGGGGGGGGCATCAGGTCCTAATTTGTACATATCTACTTCGCAGGAGCCACCATGCAGTGCTTCAAGTTCATTAAGATCATGATGTTCCTCTTCAATCTACTCATCTTTGTAAGTATAGGCTCTTTGGGGTTTCCTATAGGAGCAGGTCACAATCTGAGCAGAGGCCAAGCTGGAAAATGGGAAACTATGCCTAGACTCTGCCCTCCAAATTTCCCTTTAGGAGTAGGATGCAGATTCCTGATCCTACTAATAGTGAGGCTACAACACAGGGTTTTGTGTGGGGATGGGGTGTAGAAGCTTTAGGGTATCCTCTCTCTTCTGGGAAGCTATCAGTCCAGAGCAGGATAGGCTAGCAAGAGCTTTGATTTCCCCTTTGTGATAGGCATTCAAGGTTCAGAGAGGAGCGGGGAGCTTGCCTAAGTTCACTTAGTACAAAAGGTGATTGAGCGGCCACTGTACAAGGCAGAGTTTCTCTGTCTTAGAGCAAAAATTCTGTCTCTGGTAATCCTTATTCATTCAGTTGATGGGGCTGGGATTGTAGCTCAGGAGTAGACAAACAAGAAAGAAGAAATATTCATTGAGACTGTAAGCCATGGGCTAAGGTAGAAGTAAGCAAGGCCATTCACTGTCCTTGAGGATCTCAGGTCCAGGCAGCCAGAGAGGCAGATAATTACAAAGTAGCACCAGAGCTAAGTGAGCCCCTGGAGGGGCTTGAGCCTAGCCTGGTAGAATACTTCCTGGAGGAAGTGGCTGAAGCTAGGAATTTGCATTGGGTGGGGGAACTGTAAACCGCCCAGAGGTAATGAAATTTGATATTGTTTAGAAAACAGGAACAGATTATATCGGGCTTGTTTGAGAAGCTGAGCAATGAGGCATAATCCCTAGAGATGGTGACAGAGATAAGAAGAAATGGACTTAGCAAACAAAGGACAGGATGGTGGTAGAGGGTCGGGGAAGAAAGGATAAGGGAGACAGAAGTCTTCAGAATGATGCCTATGTCGCCAGCATGAGCAATGCAGGGCCCAGGAAAGGGTGGTCCACAGGCAGCTGTGCAACCAGTAGAGGTGCAACTTGAATTGGAGCTATTGTGGGATATTTGAAATTGTGTGCCTTTGGTGACCCATGAAGCCATGCTAAGTGGGGTGGGACGCTGGCAACAGTAGGGGAAAGTCTTATGCCTACTCCCCCACCCTGTGGCTATTTATAGAACCCCTGATCTCAGAGAAAGTGAACTCTGGGAAACTGGGAGTGTTAGGGATGAGCAGAAAAATAGCCACTACAAAGGAGAGAAGGGCCAGTGGGAAGAAACGGAAAACTAGAGTGAGAGCAGAGTTGGGACAAGGCATGAAGGGGTCCCTGGATGGAACGCAGGGCGCCACCAAGAGCTTAGGGCCATACTATACTGGGTTACAATGAGTAAAAGGGGAGGAAGTGAAGACATAAAGTGTGTACTGGTTTGGAGAAATTGGGCTGAAGAGTGTGTAGTTTCTTTGACTCTACTGTGATCTATACTAACCCTAACCCTTACCTATGGAGGACTAAGGTTAGGGTTAGGGCTATGGCTAAGGGCTAGTGTTAGTGTGAGGGATAGTTCAAGGGCCAGACCTAGGGCTAAGGATAGTGCTAGGGTTAGAATTAGGATTTAGAGGCCAGGCGTGTTGGTGCACACCTTTAATCCTAGCTCTCGGGAGGCAGAGAGAGGCAGTTCTCTGTGAGTTTGAGGCCAGCCTAGTCTACACAGCCAGTTCCAGAAAACACCAAAAAAAAAAAAAAAAAAAAAAAATTGGGATTTAGGTTGGGTACCTTGGATTTCCTTTGACTGACAGGAACTAGGTTTTATTCATATGACTGGAGGAAGTACTAGGATTCTAGCAATTTGGAGAGCAGGGGCTCTGACTTGACAGTGTTAAAGTCAAATCTAGTTTGGTTTCTGGCCTCTGTTGCCCAGGCCTTTCCAAGCTGGGCAGAACAAGGTAGGAAAGCCACAGGCTCCTTGAAATTTGACCCTGCAGGCTGGATGCCCAGCTCTCTGTCATTAAGCAAACATCCTGGGATATAGCCACAATATATCTCTTTACCTCCAACCCAGCCTCAGTTTCCTTAGCTGGACAGTGGGCCCTGGACACCAAGTCAGTGTCAGGCTGAAGTCCTTGGGTCAGCAAAGGTTTGTGGGAACTGGGCAGGGTTCAGCCACCATCACCCAACCCTGGTCAGAGCCTCTGAGGACTGAGTTGAACCAGCATTATTAAAGGAAGCTGTAGCTTTATTCTCCCTGTGGTTTCTCAGTTTCTACTTGTGAGGCAAGGAGGTCTGGCAGCTGATTCCCTCCTAGAAGGGGAATAAAATGGGAACTTTGGGTGAGTGAGCCCTCTCAACCTCCACCCTCTTTCAAGGTTGCTAGCAGGTGTAAGCCTTAGCTACGCCTCTGTTACTATGGTGACTATCGAGCCTGCTCAACACTACCACCCACTGCTTCTACCTATCAGAGGACAGAGGTAATCTAGGTACCCATAGCCCAAAAAGGAAATGATAGACTGGGCCCATTTTCATTCCTAGTTATATGGCAGGACCTTGACAACACTAAAGGGAAAGTACTGTGTCCCACCCTGCTCCCAGCCTGTGGATATTTTTGGAATCCCTGATCTCATTTTTATCTTTGCAGATGTGCAGCCTAGTTGTAGTTACGGATATCCCAGCTCCCATCTTTCTAGCACTAGTCAATGTTTCCCACCACACATAATGGGTTGTTAGAGCCAGGTGTGGTGGTACACGCCTTTTGTCCCAGCTGGAGGCAAAGGCAGGCGGATCTCTGTGAGTTCAAGGCCAGCCTGGTCTACATAGTGAGTTCCAGAGGGAAAAAAAAAAAAAAAAAAAAAAGGTTGTTAGATTCCCTAGTCAAGAAAAGGGAATTTTCTTGGCTCCCATCTTCCTGACTGAACTGTGTGATCAGGAACCACTTGCCAGCACTCTTTCAAAGCCTGTCTGACTTCTCTGTCTCCAGCTGTGTGGTGCGGCCCTGTTGGCTGTGGGCATCTGGGTGTCCGTCGATGGGCCATCCTTCCTGAAGATCTTTGGGCCACTATCGTCCAGTGCCATGCAGTTTGTCAACGTGGGCTACTTCCTCATCGCGGCTGGTGCTGTGCTCTTTGTTCTTGGTTTCCTGGGCTGCTACGGTGCTTACTCTGAGAACAAGTGTGCGCTCATGATGGTGTGTCAGACCCAGCTCCACAGGCCCACCACCAAGGGTCCTTTCATCCTTAACACCAGGCTCTGGGGATCCCCAAACCTCTAGAAGCCTCAGCATGGGGACTTCCTGCCTCACTTCCATTGGGGTGGGTAGGGCAAGGAAGGCAGACTGCCTCTTCCTAAAACGAATTTTGTTGTTCCCTATGCAGTTTTTCTTCATCCTCCTCCTCATCTTCATTGCTGAGATTGCAGCTGCTGTAGTTGCCTTGGTATACACCACAATGGTGAGGCACAGGGATGGGGCAAGGCAGAAAGACTGGGCAGCGTCCTGAGAAGTGGGTGGCAGCCTGTGAGTGCCTACCTTTCCTAAACATGCGCCTGACCCATCTAGGCTGAGCAATTCCTGGCATTGCTGGTTGTGCCAGCCATCAGGAAAGACTATGGTTACCAGACTGAATTCACCCAAGTGTGGAACTCCACCATGGAAGGGGTAAGGTGGGCTGAGAAGATTTGTGGGTGGAGAGAAAGACCCAAGGACCCATTAGTCACCTACCCCATCTTGTCTGCAGCTCAAGTGCTGTGGCTTCAACAACTACACAGATTTTAATGCCTCACGCTTTGTGGAAGAAAATCAAGTCTTTCCTTTCTACTGCTGTATCAACTTTGTCAATGACACAGTTAAGGAACCTTGCACCGAGGAGGTGGCCCAGAAGATGGAAGTACAGGTATAAGCTGGCATAGAAGGGTGGGATTGCTTTAACGGCCATACAGTGGCAAACGAGGGCAGAGGCTAGGATACTGCCTGCTGTAAATGGTCTCTCCCCTCCTCCAAGGGTTGTTTCAAACAGCTTCTACATGGTGTCCGAACCAATGCAGTCACTGTGGGTGGTGTGGCAGTTGGAATTGCAGCCCTGGAGGTAAGTCAGTGAGAAGACCCTAGGAAGACTGACCCATTTTTGAGGCCAAGCTGGAGGAAAAGGACTTCTTGTTTTTGTTTTTGGAGCTGGGGATTGAACTCAGGGCCAGTGGATGTTAAACATGTCCTCTACTACTGAGAAAACAGAGCTTCATATAGGTTGTTCAGGGTGGGCAGGACACCAGTCCGTGAGGATTCGTACTATCCCTTCATCTCCGTTTCTCCCCACCAGCTGGCCACCATGATCGCATCCATGTATATCTACTGCAACCTGAAATAAGACTGCTTCTTCCTCTTTTGCTGCTGACGCATAGGAACCAGGAAGAGGCCCTGGCATAGCTAAGCAGCCATGATCAGAGTGGAGATGAAATACAATGTCATTTGGGCTGGAGTGGATTGCCTTTGCTGCTCTGAATTTAAGGCTAAATAGGGACCTCCTCTTTCTGGCTCTGTGTCTGACTTTTCCATCTACTGGTGGGGCTGGGACCCGTCTGTTCCAGTCTCTAGGGAAGCAAGTTCTGCCCATCCTGAGTCTTTCCTTCAATTCTTGACACCCCCTTAGGAAAAAGGTGGCTCTTAATGATCCCAGTACTCAACTGGTGGATGAGAGAAAGTATATTCAAGTCCAGCAGAGTCACAGGGATTATGTGTAGGAGGCACTTCAGAAACTACAAACCAATTAAAATATTTCTATTTGGACTATGTGTATCCTTGGGGAGGGGGATCCAGCTTGCCGAAACTGCACTGATTTCTGTGGGGCTGGCGACCCAGCAAGGTGGAAAGGAAGTGGAGTGGGGATTTGGGTTTCAGGCCTGAGAGGGAAATTAAAAGGGATAGTCCCAGCACTCGGGAGGCAGAGGTAGGCGGATCTTTGTGAGTTCAAGGCCAGCCTGGTCTCCACATAGAATCCAGGCCAGCTGTGGCTACAGGGAGACCCAGTCTCAAAAAGACCAAAATAAAATAAAAAAAAAAAAAAAAGGTGTTGGGGGGGTATAGCCAAGAAGGCACAGTGGAGGTGGGAGCTGGGCTAGTTTGCCTTCATGTATCATGAGAGGACTTTGTCCTGAACACCCCACCCCCACCCCGGCTAGGGGTATTGGACTGGACAGTTTGAAAATCACCAGCTTGTGCCAAGGAAGAGAGACTAGAATTATTGTCAGGGCAATGGGGGAGGAGTCACTCTGGGCTCTGGGAACCTCCAGGAACTCTAATAATTTGTGTATCCTTCCCACCAAGGTGAACATCTGCTCCTGCTTTCAGGATCACAGGACTTCATTTACTCTTTGGTGTTGGCCTATCTACCACTTTGGTATTGCTCATTGCTCTAAAGATTGGTATCTTTTTTCCCCCCCTTCTTTTTTGAAGCAGTTTCCCTATGTAGCCCTGGCTGACTTGCAACTCCCTATGTAGAGAAGGCTGGCCTCAAATTCAGAGATCCACTTGCCTTGCCTCTGTCACTTGCTGAGATTAAAGGCATGCACCACCACCATAAAGATCAGTATCTTATTCAGATGTTTTGAGACTGGGTCTCATATGGCCCAAATTGGCCAACTTGCTATGTAGCTGAGGATGACCTTGAATTTCTGATCCTTCTGACTTTATTTCCTAGTGCTAGAATTACGGGCATGTGTCACCACACCTTGTTTTATGAGGTGTTAGGATCAAACCCGCCTTCATGTGTGCTGGACACTCTGGACATCCCTAGTCTATATTTAGTCTTTAATAATCCCTGTGTTCAAGACAAAAAACAGGGACTTAGAAAAGCCAAGTAAATTGCCATAGTTATTGAAAAGCTGAGTCTAGACTGACTCCTGTGACTGGTCAGCCAAGTTGGGCTTTGCAGATAGCAGACACTATCCCCCTATGAGACTAGCCTTCCTCTTTAGTGCCACTACTTCTGGTTCAGATACTCAAGTCAAGGACATTCTAGTCAGGTCCTCTTTTAAGCAGACCCATTTCTAGCCTCCCTACTTCTCCCTGATACCCCTCTGTCCCCAAGTATGTTTTCAAGTTTTTCCAGGGCAGTCTAGAAATACTGCCCATATTCTGGGCCCAAAAGACTTGCTAGAGTTCTGGAAAGGGAAAGGAATTAGTTGGTCATAGCCCTTTGCTAGTATAGTAGTGCCTTTTTAAAAAAAAAATACTTTTTATTATTTTTATTTTGTGCATGAGTATATTGCCTGCATAAATGTGAGTGCACCCAAGTCGTGCAATGCTGCCGAAGACAGAAGAGGGCTTGCGGATTCCCCTGGAACTGGAGTTATGGACGGTTTGTAGCCGCCATGTGGGTGCTGGGAATTGAACCTATGTCCTCTGCAAGAGCAGTCAGTGCTCTTAACCCCTGCTCCAGCCCCTACTGTGCCTCTAATACACACTACCCTCTTCTCCCACAGGAGTAGCATGTGGGGGCGGGGTGGTGGAGCTCAGCTGTGTGTGTGTGTGAGGGGGATATGTTTGCCCCTGCCTCATCACGGGCTAATTGTTATCTCCTGTGGCTGTTTTGCCACCTGAAACACTAGCTCTAACAACCACTGAAGGAACCAGGGTAGAGAGAAATGGTGAAGCCATATTGTACCTATGCCACTGCTGTGCTACACTACAAGTACAGCAGGTGAGGCAGGGACGGTGAACAGGTGATGCGGGCAGGCATTCCTGTAAGTTCCTGACTCCTTGGTCAAAGGTCTATACCAAATGGCTGGGTGTGCTTTGTTTAATCCCAGCACTCCCTAAGCAGAGGCAGGTGGATCTCTATGAGTTTGAAGTCAACCTGATCGACAAAGTGAGTTCCAGGCCAGCTGGGGCTAGAGGGAGACCCTATTTCCAAAAAGAAAAAAAAGGATCTGACACCCTCTTCTGACCTCCACCAGAACTGCAAAACAAGGGTGCCCTTACGTATGTGCAAGCAATACACTCATACACAAAATTAAAAAAAAAAATAAAGAACCTGACCAAAGACCTATACCAAACAGACCCTTCTCGAGAAGTGATCTACACCCAGATCATGATCCTCATCATTCACAGACACTTCAAAGATCATGCCCCCCTAGGTTGGATCATCTCACCTACTTCAGGACAATTCTATTTTCTGGTGACTAACTCTGACCTTCCTATGCTCTTAGATAAGTTGCTAGTCCCAGTGTGAATCTGATGAAACATGGGTCCTTTTCTCCAAAAAAACATCCAAGGGCCCTCACTCCTACCCTAGATTGCCTAGTAACCTCCTAGCACATGTCTCTCTCGACATACTATTTCTAGCTCAGTCACTTCCTTCCCATCCCATGCCCTCATCATCAGCCTCCAACTATTCCTTTTTGGTCTCTTGTTCCATTTCTGGTCCAGACAAACAAGAAAGAAACCAGTCCGATGGTTAAACAGTGGGGAAGGGGTGTGAGATGGCAGCTGGAGCTAAATCCTAAGTAGGGTGGGACTATAGTTAGCTGCACCCAGGGTGGAGCCTGGTTTAAAAAAAATAAAACACCTTGGAGCTTGAGGCTTGGGCATCCCCTGGTGGCCAAATGGCTTCACAGGGAAGATAAACCGGGTGACAGTATGAAAACTCACCATGCATCCAGATGACTCTTTCCCTCATCACCACTCTGCTCCCCACAAAATCACAACCACAGAACACATCCCCAGAGGTTTTCTTCTTTTTTAATCAATGACCATCTTATCCAGCTTCGGAAATCTGGACAAAGAAAAGGCTGAGAGGAGGCCTGGTCCAGTGTCTAAGGGTCTCTGAGTGAGTCTGTGTCAGCACATGGGCTCCAACTGGGCCTGTCCATCAGTTGGGCACAGTAGTTTCCTGAGTAAGAGCCAGTCTCACCATCAGGGAAGCATCCTGGCTCAGAAAGGAATCAAAGCCCCCAAGCTGGGCCTATTCCCTAGGCCTTCAGGACAGTCAATAAATAGGTTAGACTTTGAGCTGGGCCTGGGAGGACGGGGTGTACAAGGCAGGATCAGCTGCCCAGGGATCCCAAAAAGTCCCAACAAGGAAGTAAATAAATAGACCTTCAACTCAGGAACAGGGGTATTGCAGCAGGGGAACCTCCCCTTGGAGTTAGTAATCAAATCCCATGTTAAAAACAAACCAGCCTTAACCCCTACCAGCATCTAAAAAAATCCTACAAGATAGGGTGACGGGCTAGCCTGCTTGGGGGTACACAGTACCCAGCCCTGCAGGGTCCTGGAGGAGGCCTCATGTCTGTTCAGCAGCCCCTGGGGCTCCCTCCTCCTTTGGAGGTGGTTCCAGAAAAATTGGGGTGACGGATGGTGGCTTCTTCACTCTGAAATGTAACAGAAGAATTATACACAGAGAAAAGGGCAAAGCTATATATCTCAATCCCATTAGACTATTTCCTAGGGCAGAGAAGGATGACTCACGAGTAAGGGGAGGCTGGGACCCCCACCACCAAAAAGTGGTTTTTCTTCCGAAATAATCTCCACAGACCCTGATGGTTGCCACGTACATCCAGGTCCCAAATATGGAGGCACTGGCAGAGATAGGGTAGGGAAGAAAGATGGGTCAGGGAGTTCAGCAGCTACCCCAATCTATAAGATATAGTATCTTCTAGAACATGGATTTGGACAAAGGGGTTGGAAGAAGGGTCCTAAGGGCATAATGAGAGGGTTCTGAGGCTGAAAACTTCACAACAAAGATTCTGTTTGTTGGGGCTGTGCATGTTAGGTGGAGGAATATTCCTGAGGCAGGTGTGGCAATTGAGCACCTTGGCAAGCTGAGTCCAGGTAGTAAAGTCATCATTTTTCTCCATTCGAATAAAGGCCACGTAGGTATGGCCCTCCGTGTCTGGCAGGAAGGAGTCTTCGCAAGGGTTCTTGCTGTGGTCCAAAACCTTGGCTTCACTGCAGTGGGGGTAGAGAATTAAGGCCAAGCCAGGGCACACTTCCTGGGTCTGTCGCACAGGGCCCAGGGCTTGATTTAATGCTTTGCTATTATCATTTTGAAATTCTTAATAAAGATTACACTAGAGACCCATTTTTTTGTATAGAGCACCATAAATTATGACACCAAGAATGTCAATATTTGATTTCTCACTCCCAGCTAGGCATCCCGATTACCCTAGGCCATACCTAAGTAACCTGTGAATTTCCACTTCATAAGCATCTTTCTTCAGACTGAAAAGGAGGGAGAAATGAATCAAGTGAAGGCCATGTCCTCAGGTCCATGAAGAGTAACGGGCAGGGCAAAGGGTCACATTAGGGAAAAGATACAGCAGAGCTGAGGTAAACACACAAGCCTCCAGACTGGAAAGGACTATCAATGAATGGTTACCAAGCCTTCCAGACATCCTCCCCCTGGCCCTGCTGCCAGTCCCCACCTGTCCACATTCCTGAGCTGGACACCCGGAACCGTGTTGAACTTGTGCTTCTTGAAGTAGGCCTCCTAGAGTGGGTTGAAAATTAGGGCCTCACTGGTCTGGTCCACATTTGCTTACTGACCCTCCACAGATCTACAAGATCCATAAAGGAAGTCCTGAGCCTGGAAAGAGCCCTCTGATTTCCATCTTCTTGGCAGCATGTTTGGCAAACTCTTACTAGTTTTAATTTATGCTGCACCATTGGCTTATGCTACTGACCCACAATCTAGCCCTGTTTCCACTGGTTCTCTCCAGTCCTGTTGTAGAGACTTAGAAGTAAAAAACAAAGGTGGAGGTACTAGGATCAGAAGCTCAAGGCCAGCTGCAGCTACATAGTAGTTTGGGACAAAACTGGGCTACATAAGACTTTGCCTAGGCTAGATGTGGTGGCACATGCCTTTAACCTTAGTACTTGGGAATCAGAGGTAGGTGGATCTCTATGACAAAAAAATAAATATAATAAATAAAAAGGAAGGGTAGGTCCTTCTGTAGGGGGTGGTTAATGGGACAGATAGGCTGGAAGAAAACTGTTGATTCAGGTTCTGAGAGTGTCCTGAGCAAAATGCCTGCCCTTCTTTGTAGAACTTTTGGTTTTTGTTTTTTCTTTTGGTCTTTTTGAGATAGGGTCTCTTTGTAGCCCCATTAGGGCCTGGAACTTGCTTTGTAGACCAGGCTGGCCTCGAACTCACAAAATCTCAAATATCCACCTGCTTCTGCCTCCCGAGTGTTGGGATTAAGGTGTTCGCCACCATGCCCAGCTGAGTAGAACTTCTGTATCAGCTGTCTCTGGGGGTCTTGCTGGCTTCTAGGAGGGTTCCAAACCAAATACATTGTTTGCAGTTGGGCTGTTTCAAGCACACCCTTACCGTAATAGGACAGCAGACCATTAGATGCAGCCAGGTAGAGTATGGGGGACTGGGAACTACCTTGCTAACCTAAGGCTGAGACATGGGCCCCAACATTTGCAAGGACAGAAGGACCTTAGAACAGGCAAACCCTTTCCATACCCAGTCCAGTGATAGGGACAGTAATAATAAATATAATACCAGCTATCTTTATATAATACTTATGGCTAAAAGCATTTTACATATATTCACTAATTTAAACCTCATAATGAGGGAGGTAGAACTTTGGGAGGGGGTAGTTGTTGCTTTTTGTCTGTTTGTTGGTGATTTTTTTGTTTTAGTTTTTTTTGAGGTGGGGGTCTCAAACTCACAGCAATCCTCCTGACTCAGCCTCCCAAGTTCTGGATTAAGCCCAGCTCGTAGTATTTTTGTTGGTGTTTTTGTTTTCTGAGGCAGGGTCTTTGTTCTCAAACTCATGATCCTCCTGCCTCAGGCCCTCAAGTAATGGGATCACAAGGCTCGTGTCCATGCCCAGCCCTTGGTAGATAGTATTTTTATCCTCATGATACAGATAAACTGCCAGAACAACATAGGTAGTAAGTGACAGGGTTAGGACATCTCCAGAGTCCATGTCCTCAACCACTAAGCCATACTGTGCCTGTTCCCATATGTCCCACTCACATGGAAGTAGCCATTCATGTTGAGGCCCACAATTCCAAAATGGTAGGATCGGGAAACATCAGGGATGATGCATTCTCGGCCCCGGCGCTGTTCTGGCATCCGCATCCACATGTCCCAGTCCCAAAGCTGGGGGCACAGAACATTATGAAGGTTACAAGTTTTGAGCAGATTAGGATTCCAGCCCATTCAACCACCACTGGGTACCTTTTCTGGTGTGGGCCACTTGGGCTCAAGCTCCTCCTTGTACAAGGATTTCCTGAGCACCCAACCCAACCCAGGCATGGTCTCCACACGGTACAGAAGTGCTGGATCCTCAGCTGTGTGTTCATACCCCTGGGGACAGGGGACATCATGGAAGGCATTTGCTCCAGGCCTCTACAAATTCCCCTACTGACAATCCCTGGCCACCTAGCCTACCTGGTCATTCCAAGCAGAGATGCAGTACAGGCTGTCATCCTCCTCCAGCAGGTGGATGGACTGGCTCAAAAAACTGAGAGAGCCAGAGTTCAAGAGTTGACAAAAGCAAGGGCAAACCCAGATACATCATGATGCTAGAAGAGCAAAGCGGGCAGCCCCACTGTCTCCATTCATCCTTCCTCCCATCTAAATTTGCCCTGCACCTGACCCTCCAACTTTGTTCAGGCTTCCCCCAACTTTGGAGCTCACTTAAAGCTCTCCAAGGTACCTCACCACTTTCTTCCTTGGAGACCCAGTCAAGTATAGAGGTCCCATGTAGCTTACAGGAGCTTCAATGATGGGCCACCCTTGTCACCTGAAAAAATCCACAGCGATGTCCAGGTCCTCTTCCAGAACCACGGCAAACTTGGCCTCCTACAGGAATAGGAAGAAACATCACGGTCCCAAGGAGGTCCATCCCCTACCTAATAATGGCCTCTCCCCAACCTCAATCTTTAGTCACTACTACCCCCATTTTCCAGATCAGGAATTTAAGGTCAGGTGAGGGGAAGAGCTTGTAATATAAAGCAGACCTTACACCCCCATTTCTCCCTGAAGGCCCAAGCATTGTTAGCTGTGGTACTCACCGGAAACAAGTTGAAAGTGGCAGTGAGGCTGGCCTTGTAGTGCTGGGTAGGGAGTGGGAATTGGCACATAAGATTTGGGGCAGAGGGTGGGACCAGGTGTCTGCCCCTTCCATCCTTGCCCAGGAGTACCTGAGACACTCGGGCATTCTTGATGCTGATGGGAGTATGCTGGATGCCCCTCAGACCAAACAGCGCCACCACATCCATCGGCTCCTGGAGGCATGGCAACTGGTCATCATGTGTGACACCCTCCTACTTCTGCAGGCCCCAACATGTCAAGCTCTTCGTATTTCACAGCCCTCAGCATCGCTGCTTCTCAGTGCCCACAGCCCTGTGCTTCACTCACCTCATAGTAGCCATCAATGAAAACTGTTATCATCTGCGGAGATACCCCTTGGGCTGAGAGCAGAGAACGTAGCATCCTGAGGAGCCCAGGAAAGTAAATTAGGGTCTCTCTGTCCTCCCAACACAGGGCTTCCCTGTGTTTATAAATGGGCCTATATTTCCCATGTTCACCCACATAGAAAGGGCCTAGAATTTGCTGTTTGTCTGCCCCCTCAAAGAGTTCCACATACAGGAAGATGAGCTAAGCATCTCCTATGAGTTGAGCATTCTCCTGTTGAGTGCTGGGTATACCCCACTCCCAGACTCACCTGTACAGGTAATTGGGCCGGTTCCCTGCAATGACAGTCACAGGCACACCGAGAACCTTATTGTCTGGGAGCTGTGTGAGAAACAGCTTTTATTCCCCTTTCCAACCAGGATCTCCATTTAGCACAGAATTCTCAGCACAGCTCAGGACTCAAGGGCACACAGGGAACAAGCCAAGGGTTTTCCCTGTTCTGGCCTCTCCACAGACTCAACCTAACTCCACCCCCAGGCTCTGTTAACATGGCCTGCCCTACCCCCAGGATGGAGAAGCTTAACCCAATTGTTCTTCAGGCCCTTTGCTGAGCTGGGAAGGAGTCGAAACCTCAATGCCTTAGGCTCCACTCACTGGGTCAGGGCTGAACTCGATGGGTGTTGGGTCCTTACAGCTGCACACACTCCCATAGCCCTCAACTTTGCTGCAGAAGCGCCGGCGGCGGCGGTTCAGCTCCGTGTCTGGCCAATGGCACTCAGCCTCTGTGAGAGGGAAAAGTTGAGAGGACAGAGGCATCATGCCAGTTCAGTTGGGAAAGTCCCAGCACCCAGTCAAGGAAAAATAATGAGAAGACCCAAATGCCCACTCGCCTAGGCATTGTCCCAGAACCCAGCCCCTACTAACTCCACCTTCAGCAGAGCTCAGTGGGACATCTGTCTTCAGCAGGACTGGGTCACCCCAGGACGAGAGGGCAGGAGACTTAGAATGTTTCTCACCAAGTACAGGACCTGACAGAAGGCAGGAATGATGAATGAGGGCCCAGATTCCAGTGCAGGGCTTCTTCCCATCTTTCTGCCCACTTCCAACCTACTGCCGCGGGTTTCTATATAGCCGCATCCCACACCACTCTACCTCCTAGGGGTCTGCTAGATATTACAGGGAGGATAGCCCCTGGTATCCACACCTCCTTTTCGTCCCACGAAGGCCCAGGTATCCCTCCAGCCAAGGGCAGGGCCTGCCTGGCTGCCTAGGCTCCTCAGCAGAGCCTTGGCTGTGTCTTTGAGGTGGAAGGAGCCCTCATCCTGAAGGACCAGAGAAGACAGTCACCATGACTGGTGTGGTCCCAGGAGACCTGGCCTCATAGAAAATCAACTATGTTCTAAGTGCTACGTATAAAACCTTTTACTTAAGTTAGCTATCAAGAGACTCCAACAACCCTCTTAGGTTACTGTCTTTCACAGGCAAAATAATAATAATAATAATAATAATAAAATACTGAAGGCTTAAGAGTTTGAGATTCATCCAGTCACCCAGATGCTAAATCCCAACTATGACCCATGTGGCCCTCTGTCCCCTGCCACCTCTCCACTCTTTTTCTTTTCTAGCTCCACTGGCATCTTTGGTTTCCTCAAGCATGTCAGAGACCTTCCCACCTCAGGGCCTTTTACATTTGTCATTTCTAGAAGTTTCTACCTACAATGTTCTTCCTCCAATCATTTTCTTGGCTCACTTCTCTCATCCTCCAGTCCTCTACTCACACATCATCTCCCGACAGTTATTCCTTTCCTAAGACGCAGCCTCATCGTGCTGGCTCTTTATTTTCTCCTTCACCTGTCATTTCTTGACATTATAGACTTATTTAGCCATTTTTTTATTGATATTACTGGGATGCAAACTCCGGGGGGTGGGGGGTGGGGTAGAATTCTGTCTTCTTTCCTATTGTATCTTTAGCACCAAGCATAGTGCCTGGCATACAGTAGGTACTCAATAACTGCTGAACTGATAAAAATGCTAAAGAGAGGACAGGAAACTGAGTCACCTTTCTCCAGGGGCTCTTTCTACTATGCTCTATCAGGGGCAGAGGCCCCTGGGCCGGGGGCAAAGAGAATGGAGCCAGGGCAGACTCACTGACCTTGACAGTACAGATCAGCACACGGCCTGGTGCCACCATGTTCAGGAACAGCACCATGGCCTCATCCTCATGAGGAGAGTATGTGTCAAATACACGCTTTGCCATCACATGGCCCTGGCAGGGTACAAAACTCTCAAGAGTCAGTGTTACCAGTAAGGAGAGCCCAGCTTCAGCCCTCTGGGTCCCTACCCTGAAGCTCACCGTAGCCTGGTTGAGGACGATGACATGGATGCCCCGGCCCTGCTCTCGGGCATCATCCTCTAGCACCTATACAGTGGCAGAAACAAAGCACAGCTCTTCACTCTGTCACTCACAGTGGCTGTTTTTTAAGTATGAGATATGCCGGCCTGCCTTATGCCACCGCTGTTCGCAGTTCTCAGCCTGAAGGCTGCCGCTTCCAGAAGCCCCATAGCACCCTCATCAGAAAAGACTGCATCTTCCCACCATCTACCTGTTATCACTTTCAGGGCGCCCAGAGCCCTGGACTGTCTGTTTAGCCCTGCTGATTCCATAATCCTCTACTAGTTTGAGACACTCTAAACAGGGCAAGTCCCATTATCTCCAGGGCCCCATTCCTGGCCTGAGGCTGAAGTCAAAGGGACTAGAAAACGGTGATGCAATCACCGAGCTGACTGCCTACTAATACTCATGATTACTTTTGAGACCTCACCACATGAGACAGTTCCCTTAACCCCCAAAGTAGAAATCATTAATGCCAGATGTAGGGCTCCAAAGTCACACAGCTCAAACCCGGAGAACTGCAGTTCCCACTCAGGTTAGGGACCCACAGTCTGTGTACCATGCCCTGAAGGTACTGGAGTGACAGTATACCAAACAGTGGCCCACTCACCGTGGTGCCATCCACTGCCACATACACTTTGCTGCGGCTAGAGTACACCTCCACATCCAGGACCCGCCGAGGACTGCTGCCTCTGTGCTTCGGGGACTCCAAGCGGCCTAGGGCCTCATCTGGAGAAGGAGGCATTGCAACAGGCACGGATGATGTCTCCCTGGCAGAGTTCTACCCTGTGGCTCTGCATGCCACTCCTGCCGTGACATCCCAGCCAATCCATCCTCAGTCTGGCGCTCACCATAGTCTTGCTCTGACTCCGGATCTTCATTGGCTTCGCTGATTGCTCGACGAGTATCAAGGATCAACTTGATGTTGACAATGACAGTCACCAGCAGGAAAAGCACAGCCCCTGTCTGAGTGGAGAGGCGGGACGACTGAGGCACATCCTCTCTAGATCATAGAGGTTTTTTCTGAAAGTATGGCCCTGGCTGTAGTGAGGACACAGGGAGAAAGAACCTGGGACCTATCTCAGCTTTCTGGCTCTCAACCAAAATCTAGGCTCATGGCTATCTCCCAGGGAACCTCCCTGACTGGACCCCTTCATCAGGCCCTCCCTACGCAGAGCTCTTGTACTCTTCCATCTGAGTCCTTGATTTCCTTGGACCCATCCATAATTAGTTCCTATTGATATATTCAGGTTCTGAGAACCATACTAGGGTATCAGAAAACCTGAAACCTAGCCCACACTGCCTGACAGGTATGTACCCAGGGCAACATCTTTCTGTTTCAACCACGTTTCTGTTTGATGCCTAGGAGGTTAGAGTTGGGTTCTGATTCCAGAACTCTGGGTCTAAATCACTGCCTGAAAGGCAGTGACACAGGTTTCCCTTTTAGGAATGTGCTGCCTCTTCCTGGTTAGAAGTGACCAAGGTGGGGACCAGTGCCCATAGTCTAGGGTAGGGTAAGGTTAGGAGGGGGGCCCCTGAGGATTTTGGGACATCATTTTACCTGACAGAATCTCCGCAGGGCCCGCTGGTTTGTCAGTTTATACTTCCAGGTAAGATACCAGCTCCGCTTCTTCCTAGCCCCAAAGGGCTTGATGAGAGGACTAGGCTTCCAGTCGTCCATACTGGATTAGGGGGTCACCCCTGTCCTGGCCAGTCCATGACTTCAGGAATCTGGGGAGCCAGGAGAGTCACATGGAGTAAGGAAGTCTTTCTCCCAAAGCCTGACGCCTTCTAGAGATGAGGACTTCCTAGCTACACTCCCCTCTGCAAATTGCTTAGCTGTGTGACCCAGGGAAAGTGGCTCAACTCCTCTGGGCCGGGCCAGAAAAACCTTTAGAGGGGTTGGATCACCTGCAAATTCCCTGAGGCTAGAGGAACTGAGTCAGGGCTGCCCAGGGCCTCAGAGGTAGAGGCCAAATAATCCGCTTTCAAGATTCACCAGTCCCTAAAAGATGCAATTCCCAGTCCTTCCCCGTCCTAAGGTGGGCCAGTAACAGAGACCTCCCGCGCCCCAACCCGCCTGCCTCCTATGTAGCTCAGCTCCTCTCCTCCCAGGGCTCAGGGACGCTGGACCGTTCCGGAGACCCCCCCCGCCGCATCACCGCGCCCCCCATCCGCCTCCGATCCCCGGTCCCGCACCTGGAGACGCTCACGGCTCAGGGGCCCGGGGCCCTGCTCGGGCCGCACTCGGGCCCGCACCGCTCGGCCGGGCTCACCACGGCCTCCGCCTCCTCCATGCCGCTCGGGCCCCGCCCCGGCCCGGGCGGCCCGCCCCACCGCTTCCGCCTGCGCTGCCTCCGCCGCGGGGTGAGAGGGCGGCAGGCGGTGCTTAGGGCGCGGTCGGGCTCGGGGTCTGCGGCGCTTGGAGAGCGGGTGTGCACAGCCTCCGGTGCAGGTTCGCAGCCCGGCAGGCGAGTGGGCCTCGCGGGAGAGCAGCTGGCGGCACCGGCGGGCAGGCGGCATCTGGGTCCCGTGGGGTCAAACGGGCTGCAGGCCTCTCGTACGCCCTGCACCGCCCAGCCGCGCTTGGGCACGACTGCTACCCAGACCTGCCGGCATACACGCTTGGCCTTAGAAGGGAGGAGGATCAAAAACCTGCTTGTACCGCTGTTTCTGAACATTTATGTTAACTCAGCTCCACAACCACCCATGATTGATAGGTGCTATGATTATCCCATTCTTAAAATGAATTCCAAGGTCACAGAACTGCGCAAGTTGGGATTGAAATCCAGGCTGTCTGGGTACAGCACTAAAGTGCCCGTAGTAATACTTAAGAGCTGTGAAGTTTAAATGAGATATAAAACCATTAGTTTAACAAGGTTCTTAAACTTAAGGTTTCATCAGAATTAACTGGGCGGCTTGTTGAACTTGTGCTAAGCCTCATTCATAGTTTTAGATTTAATAATTTTGAGCGGAGTAGGATTTTTGACATTTTTCTTGAGGGCTGTGCACATACTAACTACATGCTTTGCCACTGAATTACATCCCTAGTCCCAGATACTTGCTTCTTTTTTCCTGTGCTGGGTATTGAACCTAGTCAAGTGCTCTACCACTAATCTATATCCCTATCCCAGATTTCCAAATCTCTAACAAGTTTCTTTTTGAAGTAATTGAATAGACATGGAAGCCTTTTAGGCAGCATTTTTTTTTTCTTGGTCTTTTTGAGACAGGGTCTCCCTGTAGCCCCAGCTGTCCTAGAACTCACTATGTAGACCAAGGTAGCCTTGAACTCACAAAGATCTGCCTGCCTCTGCCTCCTGAGTGCTGGGATTAAAGGCTACGAGACAGTCTTTTTTTGTGGAGAATAGATGGAAAGATGGAAACTGACAGGAATCTGGGAAAAAGTTTATTTTTATTCTTTTAATTATTTTTGTTGCTTGTTTTCAGACAGGGTCTCACTGTGCAGATCAGGCTGGCCTTGAACTCAGAGATATTTGCCTGCCTTTGCCTCCCGAATGCTAGGGTTACAGATATGTGCCACCCTACCTGCAACAGTTGGAATTTTAAAAAATGATTGATTGCTTGATTGATGATTGATTGATTGATTGATTTTGAGCTCTCCCTAGTCCATCTGCCTCCTGCATGGAGGGATGATATCCTTCAACATGTTAACAGTGCTTGTCAGGTTGGACAAGGTATTGTATACCTGTAATCCTAACACTCAGGGGTAGAGGCAGGAGAATAACCAATTCAAGGCAGTCTGGTTTCTTAGCAAGATACTGTCTGGAAGCACAAAATGGTAGCTCACTTCTGTAATCCTAGTACTCAGGAGGCTGAGGCAGGAGGATTACCATGAGGCCAACTTGGTCCACATAGCTCCAGGACAGCCAGGACCTGCAGTGAGACCTGGTCTCAGAAACAAAACAAAAGTCCTTGGCATCAGTCCCTCCTGTCTACAAGCTTCTCTGTGGAAGATCTTATCCACTCATGATCTCTGTTCCTATCCAGAGTCTCAAACTCAAATCTGCATTCCTAACTTCTCTCCTGAGCTTCAGATTGTCCACCTGCCTGCTGCATATCTCCACTGGACCCTCAATTCCATAGCTACTAGTATCAACTCCACCTGCTCCTCAGATCTCTTATCGGTTCCTTTCCTTGGCCGTATAGCTGGGACTCACATTGGCTCCTGGTCTTTCCTCAGTGTGTTAGTTACTGAAATCATTTGCTTTTGAACAAATATTTAGTGAATGCCATTTAAATTTTTAAGATTTTTTTAAAAGACATTTTATTTTTATTTTACATGTATGAGTGTATTGCTTGCATGTAGGTAGGTTCATCTTTGTCATGCAATGCCCATGGAGGGCAGAAGAGGGCGTTTGATCCCCTGGAAATGGAGTTATTGATGGTTGTTAGCCACCATGTGGGTGCAGGGAATAGAACCCAATCCTCTGCAAGAGCAGTCAGTACTCTTAACTGGTGAGCCATCTCTCCAGCCCCAAGATTTTATTTTTATTTTATGTGTATGTGTGTTTTGTGTGCATGTATGCAAGTGTACCATGTGCATGCAATGCCTATGGAGATCAGAAGAGGGTATCAGACCCCTCAGAACTGGAGTTAGCTGGGAACTGAACCTGGGTCCTCTGCAAGAGCTGCCAGTACTCTTAATGGCTTACGCTTCTGTCCAGTCCCTTGAATGCCTTTTTTTTTTGGTCTTTTTGAGACAGGGTCTCCCTGAAACCCAGCTGGCCTGGATGCTGGGATTAAAGGTGTGCGCCACCACACCTGGCTCTTGAATACCTATTTAAATAAATGAATGCAATCAAGTCATCCAATTCTTATTGTACCTATTAAAAGAGCTATTATGAGGGACACCGAGAGGTCCCCAAAACAATAAAGGCCATTGCCAATAATGTTGGTTGCACACCAGAAATGGACAGAAAAACCCTATCGCTGAAGACACAGCATGATATGAGCATGGGAGAGGGAGAAATCAAGCTTGGACTAAGCTGGAAACTCCCTGCCACTGGGTGGGTGGCTTTCATGGTGCCAAAGGCAACATGCAGATAACTGGGGGAGAATAGTCCCCTATAATTCTCCTCAATGACGGACCCCATGTATTGCACTACCAACATACCAAACAAGATGTTTCTGGCTGGTGCAATAGTGGAGTGTTTAGTGTTATGTACAACCAGCAAATTTTCGATTGGATATAATGCCCGCTCCTAGGGGTGGAACACACATCTGGTGCTGTAAACCCTGCCAACCCCCTGTGGCAGGGGAGAATAGCAGTGGGACGTCACTGCAATTGCTTTGTTAGATGGAAAGGATGCACCTGCCAAAGCACTGAACAAGCATTTGTATATATCACCATAGGGTATTATCACAGTCAATGTTTAGTTTTTTGAGGGGTTGGGGATTTAGCTCAGTGGTAGAGTGCTTGCCTAGCAAGCGCAAGGCCCTGGGTTCCGTCCTCAGCTCCGAAAAAAAAA